TTATTTGACTTAAAAATGCAAATTCAACAATAACTGAATCCAAATAAGCAGCACTTTCTTAGTTCCTAATTATGACATCATTTTTATAAATATAATTTTTTCAAAGTGTGTTAAAAATATGTTTTATTGAAAACAATAAAACCAACAGTTGTGTCCCAACTTATCAATTTGGAAAACTTACAGTAATTACTAAACATGGGTTCATTTAAAAGCCCATTCAATTTTAAGATACATTTTTAAAAATGCAAAAATCAGTTCAATTGCTGAGGAATGCAATTGATATCTGATGTGATGTTCGTATGAAATAAATCAATGAATTAGAAACAGTCATACGTTGAGCCCATATGCGAGCATTCATTTATTTATGTAAACCTTTGAAATGCAAGTGATTTACGGTAGTGTGACAAATGCTGCATAATTATGATAACGTAATGATATAGTTATTAATACTCACAACACTTGGCAATAGTTTATCACAGGATTTTATAAAAAATAATTCCTACGAAGCTCACTTTATTCTAACGTATTATTAATCAATATTACAAAATAAAAGTTTACAAAATAATAGCCTTAATGAAAAAATAGTCACAAAAAACAAATTCAAAGTGTAATGTATTTAAAACTTAAGGAAACATAATGTGTTTAACTGTTAATAAATGTTTAGAAAACATAACTTATCTCACAATTAGTTCAGTGATGATATCAATGAAGTAAAATACAATCAATGGTCAGTTTGAATGATGGGGTGATATTCGCCGTCATCGCCCTCTTCAATGAACGCGTCATAAACCTCTCCATTGTCTGTGTTCTCCGGAATACTAATCGTCGGGTTCTCGTAATCTTCATCATTGAAGGTCTGCTGCATAGCAGTGGCCAATGGGTCGGCGTCTGAGTGAACAAAGAAGTCATACTTAAAAGGATTGCTTAAAGAGTTATTCACTTTAATAACCCATTGAATAATTTTCTTGCGATTCGTCAAAAGGCATAACAAACTCCTCGTCCATAAGCCCTTGGATTGCATTTGCCGTTTCATTGGCAGTGGTTTGTCCTCTCATGAGATGATTATCGCGTTCTTTGACTTTTTGAAGCAAAACAGTGAACAATTGGTTGAGATTCGAGACTTCTTTGGCGCACTCATCGGCTCCGATGGCGTGGTGTGTGATCACGTGATTCTTCATTTGTTCGTATTTCTTGATTCTCCTTGCGCACTTGCACTCAAAGTATGTAAACTCTGGCGTATGTTCTGTCAAGTGGTCCAACAGAGCACTTGTGTCCGAATATTCAAACTCATTGACACATAAACAGCATTTATTGCGATCAGATATCCAATCGATGGCATGACTCGCGAGGTTGTGCTGAACTAACGCTCCGAACACAACAGAAGCAAAGTCACAGAATTTGCATTTAAATGGTTTGCAATAACGCGGATGAGATATCTTCGCGTGC